GCCAGGGGTGGATCTTCCCTGGCACTTGGGCCAAGGTCCAAAGTAAAGGGAGGCACCCACTAAATGTAGTGGTGTGGAACATCGCTAAAAGAAGCGATGTTCCACATTATACACACCATATAAAATATTTCTTTTATTAAAAAATAAGCATCAAACCCATACAAGTCATACAGCACAGAGGTGGTTTTATGTTGTAAGGAATGGGTTAGTGAAGACATAAAATAAACCTAGTTGATGCAACAGGGTAGTCTGCTAAAGCAAAATTCATATAAGAGTAAGTCAAAAGTGGAACTTTCAACAAGGAGGACAGTGCACCAGGGCACTGAAGATGTCGAGTGAATTCTGTGTGCTCTCTGATAGATATGACAGTCCACTAATATACGGCGAATTGTTAGAGCTGCCTGGCAGTCCTTGCAAAGAGGCACTGGGCATCTTTCCATATGGTATCAGTATGCAAGTTGTATGTAGCCAGTTCATTAACATTCAAGTGCAGGTTCCCACCTGCCCCTGACAGTGATGGGAAAATAGACAGGAGCCTAACTGTGGTTTAATGGAGAACAATTTGTCGTCCTCTAATTCAGACCAGTTCTGTTGCCAGCTATCAGTGTCTTTGGGACAGTACTGGAAAAATAATCAGAAAATGGACTTTCCTTTAGAAGAGTGGCAGATCTCTAATAGACTGAGCAGCCGAGTCGCTGTATAGCCCTTGTGGCTTAGCGCTTCTTTTTGATAATAATAATAATAATGAGCAGCTGAGTCTGCATGTTAAATGCCCTGAATGTCAGCGTGTGGAGTGACACAGCTAAGAACTTTTTTCTGCTTGCTAGAAATTTGATAAAACCATTCGTGGAATAAAATGACACTAAAGCAGTATGGAAACTTAATACAGCAGTTGTTAAAGAAAAATGGGATTGCAAGGTAGGATCAGCTTCTTGTATTTGGGGAAGATAGGGAGAGGGGAGGGTGTGTATTTCTACAATAAACGTAATGGCTACCAAAGTATGATTTTGGGGTCAATGCCCCTCACGGTCCAGTCCCAGACTAGGCCTCTCCGTGGATGACCTGATCAACCAGGTTGTTTGGAACAGCCACATGCAGTCCAGTTTAAGCACCACAGCCCAGCTGATCATGAAGTGATTTTTGGAATTTACCAAGATCCCTCTTGAAGACAGCTAAGGGTCTCTCTATTAATTTCCCCTTATGAAGTGTTAGTCTTCGTCCCTTCACAATCAATGAATTATCTCATTGAGGGTATTTTGCACCATTTACTAAACCCAATAATTTAGGTGCTTGACTGAATTTATAGACAGTGAAGGTTCCCTGTGTATTTCCAGATCTGCTGTTTTGCCTTCTTTCAAAGGGGCTGTTAGCATATAGCAATATTCCAGTCTAGAAAAAAAACATTTAAGAGTAATGTAACATTGGCTTGGCAACTCTTGTTATGAAGGTTCTAGTTATCTAGATTATCATTTTCCTTGCAATTGTGATCATCAAGGCTAGATCCGACATTATCACTCCTAAATCCCTCACATTAATATTCCACTCTATTGGTGGGTTAGAATTTGTTTCATACTCTGTTCCAGTTTACACTTCCTCAGTTTTTCTCCTAGCTTAGCAACTGAAATTTCTCCTCTTTAAACATATTTTCTGTGGCCCACTGGAAGATCTAGTTAATATCAGATAAAGATGTGCTGTGTCTTCAGTGGATGTTACTCTCATATAAATTCTATTATCAACTTCAAAGTACAATACAATGCTATGATTTATATTTGTCAATATTAGCTATGAGAATGAGAAGTGGAGTGACAACTGTGACTTGAACAGATCTTTCTACTGTGACAGCTGCTGATTTTACTTTGTTCCCTATTACTTTTTGGGGTCTACTGCTACTAAGTTAAATATCCATCAACCAACTTTTCCATTTATATTGCACACACATTTTGCACTATTACTTCATGATCACACTTGTTGAAGGCTCTTGCAAAGTCTGTGTACACTACATTTACATTTTGTCTTCTGGTGCATTCAAAGCCATATTATTATGGCCCAGTAAGTGCAAAAGGCAAGATGAACATGCTCCAAACCCATGTTGCCTTGAACTGTGAATTTATGTATTCGGCAATCTTGCATTTTAAAAACTCAATTGTTTTTGCTATTGACTGAGGAGTTTGGCTATATCTATGACTTTTGATGACTTGTAGCCAGACTATCTCCACAGTATGTTTAAGACATGCAATAATGGGGTCTCTTTTGTAACTGTTGAGGTTTTAGGTACTTGGTCAGACAATGTAGGTTGTGAAGGAATGATAGTGTTGTTAAATCTCTGTGAAAGACTTGAGGTCTTTGAATCTGTGATAAGTACAGAAAGTACATCAGAAGAGGACCATACAAATAGGGGGCACTGAAAATGATATAGCATAAAGGTAAGAGCCTCAGTTTTGAGATTGCCATAAAAAGTTGTCAACAGGAATGAGAGTATAAGAGGGCACTACTAGGTGCTGTGACTCTGGAGTAGGTAAAATTTCCCTGTGCAGGCGTAGTTGGGTAATGTCCTGGTTATACAACCAAACCTCCTCTTTCAAACGCCAGCTGTCACTTTACCATAGGGTAATAAGGCATTAGCAAGAATGCAAGAGGTGCTTCATTGCACATGATTTTCACTGTCTTCAAACCTACTTTTCTTTATTCTGGAATCCATTTTGTAGCATGTCTAGTCTTTTTAGATGACATATATTTTAGTGGTATATAGTACATTCGTTCTTGTGACGATGGTTCAAAAGCTATAAATGCTAGATATAATGTTTGTTTTCTTGTCTATTTTTAAAATTAAATCCACAGAAGTATCAGAGTATCTTAAAAAAAAAAAAAATAGTTTTAACCATCTACTCCTTGGTATGCTCTCACTTTTGCTTCCAAATGTACTTTATAGTAGTAATTTGAACAAAATTCATTTTTTCTAATTGTGAACTTCTTACAGTACTAAAATCTACCTAACCTCTAGTAGATGTGTCTAATAAATTTCCAAATTATGTTACCTCTGTGATTATGTGGCAACAACAGCTGGATATTCTGTTTATAATCATAAAAAGTACCATGAATAAATTACCAATTATAATATACAAGACTTATCAGTTCTGCAATTCTACAACCCATGACCGACTGAACACAAGACGTGTACATTTGAATATACTGTAGTACCGATGGCCTTGTGCCTGTCATACAAAATATGACAATTTCATTCTTGTAATGTTAGAGCTGCACACACATTATATGTGATAATTAAGCGTGAGGCTTGGTATGGAATATTCAAGTTGAGAGGAAAGCTGCAGCCCTAACTTGCAGAGTTAAGTGTAAACAATCCACGATACGATGTAAACGGTTTAGAAAACCAACAAATTGAAGAATGAGTTGCTTGAGTAATATTTGGGAATCTTTACTGAGGAAACATTTTCCCATCCAGTGGCTTCTACAGTCCAATACAGAGAAGAACTGTGGAAGATGAGCAAGAGTTTGAGGTAATCAGTCCCTCAATCTTGATTGATGGATGTGTATTGAACGTATTTTTCAATCAAGAATGATGGACCGAATACCGACTCCAGGCTGAGGGAATGATTACCTCAAACTCCTTAGCTTCCGCAGTTCTCCTCTGGACTGAAGAAGCCACTGGTTTGTGAAAAGTTTCCTCAATGAAGATTCCCAAATGTTGCACAAGTCTCTCATTCTTCAATACACAATAAGTTCCCCTTTATCCTAATTACCAACTACAAGTCCTCTTTTGCACATTATAACAATGAAAATTTAAATGTACCAAAAACTCGCAACTATTTGCTATTTTCAGCTATTAGACTCTGCTGAAATTTTCTTGTAATCCTTTTTTTAGTGATATTAAACTAATATAAATTTAGTCTACTCTATGCATGTACAAAATAGTTGTATTGTACGTATTTTTCAGACTGATGCTAATGTGGCTCTAAGGCTTTACATTATTACTATCATGGGGGAGTGCTAAACCCAAAGGGATTTAAGGCTTGACAAATGATTGCCAAATTCAATGAAAAATAAATTGTAGATTTTTGCAAGTCAGTGCTTCAAGCTGGGTTATAATTTTTCCACAAAACTTGAAGACTAAATGCTGTAGTTCCAAGTTAACACCTGACCAAAAAAAATTATTGGGTAACAAAACTATGTACTGTTATCAACGTGTTTAAAACTGGTAAACAAAATGTAATAGCAACGGAGGGCTCAGAGTGCTTGATTATTTCGCAGCTGCTATTGCTTTAATATCACTATCATTACAGAGTCAGTGACTCGGTAACATTTTCCTTTATGGAAAAAATGATATTTAAAATACCATAATCAAAAGTGTTCTAATATTTACAAAAATAATATATAAATCACTCCAGAGTAGCAAATTTGCTAAAAATGGAAGAAAAAATCTACTTAAAATACTACGACTGAGGAACAGTAATAAGGTACACAAGGTTTGCATCAGTAAGTTCTGCATGTGCCAGTTGTTATACACATATGCAAAGGAAAAGGGAGGGGAGGGGGGATTTGGGCAGGACACCGAGAAATGACAATTAACATTCACTGCTACGGCATGCTACACATACTGAGTTCATTTGCATTTCTGCCGAGTTGCGCTGATCCCTATAGTACAGCTATGGCAACAGCAATCAGTCAATGGGGGGTCAGCATTATCAACCAACAGGAAAGCGGCAAGGGCATCACAGAGTAGTTTTCCACTGTGGTCGTTAATCAGCAACAGCCAATAAGGAGACAAGTTGAAAGCTGTTCCTATTGGCCTGCAAACAAACTTAGGAACCAATAGGGATGCAGGCAGGAGATGCAAGTTCCTATTGGTCACTTTTACACTGACACTGACCAATGGGGATACAGGCAGGAGGAACAGTTTCCTATTGGTCACTTGCACACTGACAACGACCAATGGGAGGCAGGCAGAAGGCATGGCAGGCTACAACTGGTCACTCCATCAATACCTCATCCTCCTCCTCCATATCAATCAGTTGACCACTAGGTAGAGACTGCGTACGGTGCTGCTTGTGAGGGTCGAATGGATCCACAATAATAGTTTCTGTCCCTTTAATTTCTGCTCTGCAAAATGGACACCCCTGCCCTTCCGAATCCTGTAAGTAATATTATTTGTGAATGCCAAGACAAGATAAATGTAAAATAGACAACTAATAAGATATACATACAATGCCAGTATTAATAATGTACTGAGTGATGGTAATAACAGTAGCAGCAACAATAATCATAGTACATCATAATCTACAAAAAAAAAATTGCTTTAGTACTGTACTTGAACAAATGTATTCTTTATGAGCCATTCAGCTATTAGTGGGTCAATAAAAGCAGGTCAGCAATGTGCAAGGAAGGATTACAACAGAACAAGACTCATATTTAATACACTGTACCAGTATATATAAATTAGTTCACTATGCTGAATGAGAAATTAATGTCTGGGAAAAATAACATACCATTTAGTGTCACAGATAAGATGTAGCAATTACATCTATAGGAATAGATTTATTCCAAGGCCTCAAAAAACAAAAAGTGGAATATGCAAACTATATATTACAACAGTTTCAAAAATACTATATAATGAAGCAAAAAAACTTTATATATGCAGGTGCACTTTAGCAATGTACATGTAATCTGAAGACAATACGGTTTAGTCCATACTTGCACTTCATCAACAGTTAAGAAGTAAGTTTATTTGCATTTACAAATAATTTAAGCAAGTGAGCAATGATCTGCATAAACTACTGAGAAAAGTGCAGAGTTTTGCAACAACTTGTCTATTAAGATTTTATTAAAATCAGTTTATAGGCGACTAACGTCAGTTGAAATAAGTCAACGACTGAACTGCAGTTTAATCTAACATGGGCTGACCTGAAGAATCAAATTACACAAGAACATGATGGCTACAGTATATCAAGACTGGTTCATCATTAGCAGAGGGAGGATCAAACCTACTTTTTGCATGGAATGACTTTACACAGATTAGTAGTTCATGTGAGCGTGTTAGATAGGAGTGAATGGAGACAAATGGTTTTTGGGACCTGACGAGCTGTTGGAGTGTAAGTACTGGAAATGGGAAGTACTTCCCATTTCCAGTATTTACACTCAAATTTAGTAGTGCCGTTTCTGTATGCAAAACTATTTTTATCTATAAAATGTATTTTTTGTTAATATTTTTGGGTGTCTGGAATGGTTTAATTGGATTTACATTATTTCCTATGGGAAATATTAACAAAACATAAATTTTATAGATAATAAAAATAGTTCTGCATACAGAAGAGGCACTACTAAATTCGAGGGTCCACTGTACAATGCCTGCACCTTAAAGGAGGAGTCTGGGATATTGGCAGTTTGGAGGGGTATGTTACATAGCTTTCTCTTCTTTCAACAGACTGGCTGTGTCCCACCAAGGCTGGGTGGCCCAAAAAGAAAAACGAAAGTTTCTCTTTTTAAATTTAGTAATTTATACAGGAGAAGGGGTTACTAGCCCCTTGCTCCCGGCATTTTAGTCGCCTCTTACAACACGCATGGCTTACGGAGGAAGAATTCTGTTCCAATTCCCCATGGAGATAAGAGGAAATAAACAAGAACAAGAACTAGAAAGAAAATAGAAGAAAACCCAGAGGGGTGTGTATATATATGCTTGTATATGTATGTGTAGTGTGACCTAAGTGTAAGTAGAAGTAGCAAGACATACCTGGAATCTTGCATGTTTATGAGACAGACAAAAGACACCAGCAATCCTATCATCGTGTAAAACAATTACAGGCTTTCGTTTTACACTCACTTGGCAGGACGGTAGTACAGTGGTCCCTCGTTTTTCATCAGTAATCCGTTCCTGGAAGTGTGACGATTATCGAAATGGACGATTTTCGAATCAATTTTCCCTATAAGAAATAATGTAAATCCAATTAATTCGTTCCAGACACCCAGAAGAATTAGAGGTAAGACAGAATGTAGGATTGCGGATGAGCAAGGAGGTTTCAGAGTGGGTAGGGGATGTGTAGATCAAGTGTTTACATTGAAGCATATATGTGAACAGTATTTAGATAAAGGTAGGGAAGTTTTTATTGCATTTATGGATTTAGAAAAGGCATATGACAGAGTGGATAGAGGAGCAATGTGGCAGATGTTGCAAGTATATGGAATAGGTGGTAAGTTATTAAATGCTGTAAAGAGTTTTTATGAGGATATTGAGGCTCAGGTTAGGGTGTGTAGAAGAGAGGGAGACTACTTCCCAGTAAAAGTAGGTCTTAGACAGGGATGTGTAATGTCACCATGGTTGTTTAATATATTTATAGATGGGGTTGTAAAGGAAGTAAATGCTAGGGTGTTCGAGAGAGGGGTGGGATTAAATTTTGGGGAATCAAATTCAAAATGGGAATTGACACAGTTACTTTTTGCTGATGATACTGTGCTTATGGGAGATTCTAAAGAAAAATTGCAAAGGCTAGTGGATGAGTTTGGGAATGTGTGTAAAGGTAGAAAGTTGAAAGTGAACATAGAAAAAAGTAAGGTGATGAGGGTATCAAATGATTTAGAGAAAGAAAAATTGGATATCAAATTGGGGAGGAGAAGTATGGAAGAAGTGAATGTTTCCAGATACAGTGGACCCCCGATTAACGATATTTTTTCACTCCAGAAGTATGTTCAGGTGCCAGTACTGACCGAATTTGTTCCCATAAGGAATACTGTGAAGTAGATTAGTCCATTTCAGACCCCCAAACATACACGTACAAACGCACTTACATAAATACACTTACATAATTGGTCGCATTCGGAGGTGATCGTTATGCGGGGGTCCACTGTACTTGGGAGTTGACGTGTCGGCGGATGGATTTATGAAGGATGAGGTTAATCATAGAATTGATGAGGGAAAAAGGTGAGTGGTGCATTGAGGTATATGTGGAGTCAAAAAACGTTATCCATGGAAGCAAAGAAGGGAATGTATGAAAGTATAGTAGTACCAACACTCTTATATGGGTGTGAAGCTTGGGTGGTAAATGCAGCAGCGAGGAGACGGTTGGAGGCAGTGGAGATGTCCTGTTTAAGGGCAATGTGTGGTGTAAATATTATGCAGAAAATTTGGAGTGTGGAAATTAGGAAAAGGTGTGGAGTTAATAAAAGTATTAGTCAGAGGGCAGAAGAGGGGTTGTTGAGGTGGTTTGGTCATTTAGAGAGAATGGATCAAAGTAGAATGACATGGAAAGAATATAAATGTATAGGGGAAGGAAGGCGGGGTAGGGGTCGTCATCGAAAGGGTTGGAGAGAGGGGGTAAAGGAGGTTTTGTGGGCGAGGGGCTTGGACTTCCAGCAAGCGTGCGTGAGCGTGTTAGATAGGAGAGAATGGAGACGAATGGTACTTGGGACCTGACGATCTGTTGGAGTGTGAGCAGGGTAATATTTAGTGAAGGGATTCAGGGAAACCGGTTATTTTCATATAGTCGGACTTGAGTCCTGGAAATGGGAAGTACAATGCCTGCACTTTAAAGGAGGGGTTTGGGATATTGGCAGTTTGGAGGGATATGTTGTGTATCTTTATATGTGTATGCTTCTAAACTGTTGTATTCTGAGCACCTCTGCAAAAACAGTGATAATGTGTGAGTGTGGTGAAAGTGTTGAATGATAATGAAAGTACTTTCTTTTTGGGGATTTTCTTTCTTTTTTGGGTCACCCTACCTCGGTGGGAGACAGCCGACTTGTTGAAAAAAAAAATGCAGAAAAGAATGCCAAATAAATGTATAGCACTAATAAAATGTATAAATGAACATTGGTAATAGGGGTAGTTGATGAGTGGAAAGGTCTGCCTAGTAGGGTGATCGAAGGTGCAACATTGGGTAGTTTCAAATTTAGGTTGGCTAAATACACGAGTGAGAGGGGTTGGATTTGAGTCGGACTTGCACCTGAGCTTATTGCTTGGGTAGCATTTGTTCTATTGGGTTGGATTTGTTCTGGTGGGTTGGATTTGTGAAGGACTGGCCTAGTATGGGCCAACAGGCTTATTGCAGTGTTCCTCCTTTCTTATGTTCTAAAAGCTATGGCTTGGGTAGTTTCAAATTTAGGTTGGATAAATACACGAATGAGAGGGGTTGGATTCGAGTCGGACTTGCACCTGAGCTTATTGCTTGGGTAGCATTTGTTCTGTTAGTGGGTTGGATTTGTGAAGGACTGGCCTAATATGGGCCAGCAGGCCTGCTGCAGTGTTCCTCCTTTCTTATGTTCTTATTGAAGACTTGTTTGTGTGAGGGAGGGATGGCAAGTTTATTGTTGGAGAATATGACACTAATATCAACTCTACATCTTATTTATCTATCACAAATCAACTAATATGACATAATAAACAATATTAATAACATAGAAACATGGAATATACTCTAGAATGAATAAAATAAGTCATTACGTATGTCATGAGAGGTGTTGTGTTGTTTTGGGTGTATAAGGGCCACTGAGAGTAAGCTGTCCATAATGGTGGTGAAGCACCAGCTGAGGCGGTGGTGTTTTCTGTAGCCCTATATAACTCCAACAACATTGGAGGAGTTGGTAGAATCACTGAATAAGGCACTTGCTACCACCATCACTACCACCTTCTACCACTATTACAACCGTTACCACCATCACTACTACCTTCTACCATCATCAACCACTATCACAACTGCTTCCACTCTACCACCACCACCACCTTTGTATTTTTCTACAAACTTTTTCATAAATTATGTGTGTGTTTCTCACATTCTCTACCAAAGGGCTGGCACTAGAAGCTTTCTTTGGAGCCATGGTGACTTATTTAGCAGTTGCAAGCACTAAAACGAATTGAATATTATGAAATATTTCGTATGAACAAGTGAGGGGACCGTCGCTCACTGGTAAACAATGGCACACTGGCTGGGAAGAGAGGCCGAGGTGGCTCAGAGCATGAGTACACGTCCTGGACGAAGGACGATTAGCGAGTAAACCGACCATTTGCGAGCCAATGTTTGGACGAGAATAACGTGACGATTTCCAAAAAGGACGACTATCAAGCCGGATGATTATTGAGGAACCACTACCTCCTCGGGCGGTTGCTGTTTACCAACCTACTACCTAGGATATATCTTTTTATATGCTTCTAAACTGTTTTATCTGGGTGCCTCTGCAAAGACAGTGATTGTGCGTGTGTGAGGTGAAAGTGTTGAATGATGAAAGTATTTTCTTTTGGGGGATTTTCTTTCTTTTTGGGTCATCATGCCTCAGTGGGAGACAGCAGACTTGTTGAAAAAAAAAAATTAATACCCTAGGTAGTAGGTTGGTAGACAGCAACCGCCCAGGGAGGTACTACCGTCCTGCCAAGGGAGTGTAAAACAGAAACCTGTAATTGTTTTACATGACGGTAGGATTACTGGTGTCTTTTTTATATCTCACAAACATGCAAGGTTTCAGGTATGTCTTGCTACTTCTACTTACGCTTAGCTCACACTACACATACATGTACACGGATATATATACACACCCCTCTGGGTTTTTTCTATTTTCTTACTAGTTCTTGTTTATTTCCGCTTATCTCCATGGGAAAGTGGAACAGAATTCTTCCTCTGTAAGCCATGCGTGTTGTAAGAGGTGACTAAAATGCCGGGAGCAAGGGGCTAGTAACCCCTTCTGTATATATTACTAAATTTAAAAGGACAACCTTTTGTTTTTTTTCTTTTGAGCAACCCTGTCTCTGTGGGATACAGCAGTTTGTTGAGAGAAGAAGATTATCAAGAGATAATGACTAACAGTCACATATGAAGACCTTCCTCCCATGCTGTGATAAAGAGCTGAAAAGTCAAAGTAAAACAAATCTGCAGAGAAATTATATAAAGGCTGACCTGCCATAAAGTCAAACACGGTGTGCAAAGGAGGTGGCCACAGGGTTCTATTCTGATGTCCTTGTCATTTTCAGCACAAATTTTACATAGTTGGAATGTGGAGCCCATTTCACAGTACAATTCATACTGTTCTTGGGTTACCTGAGGGATGAAACAAAGAAAATTATAAAAGGAATATATTCTAGATGAAGTACTGAGCCAATAGTTAAAAAAAAAAAATTATAGTTTTTATTAAATTGTCACAATAAATGAGAGTGGGCAACTGTGTATTTGCTCTTGAAACTTACAGTACTTATTTGTAGCTACAGTGGCAGAGCTATGCTCATAGTATCCCATCCTCAGTAATTATTTAGTTTGCTAGTTTTTAAAATTTCCAATAGTTGTAGCATTTCTCTTTGTGTGTATTTGTCTACCAGTGACTACCTAGCAGAGCTAATAGATTAAAGGGTGAACTACCCCTCCTAAACCTAACTTTCAATGAGCTGATATTATGTAGTTCAGTAACATTTCCTTCTCGCTGTAGAGTCAGACTATTATTATTTTTCATGCAAATAGACTAACTTTGCTGTAGAGTATTTTGAATATCATGTTCATGTTTTACCTGTTTCTTCAGTGGTAAGGTCAAGTTTATAGTCTTAACTGCTGTTACCTCCCACCACCACTGCAAATGAGTCAAATCCAGATGATCTTCCCAAGGAGTCATCCTCCTGACTTCATTGCCCTACATGCATCATTCTCACCATTAAAGGTATGAAACATGCCTTCAAAACATTTACCCCTGCTTCAGGTGATCAAGTGCACTTTTGTGGGTTCTAAATGTGGACACTGGCTCACATAAGACAAGCACAGGACCAAATCCAATGATTCAGGAGACAACTGGACACCACTGCTACAGACATAACCCAGAATCAGACTTATTTTTTTTCCCTCACATCAGGAACAAGCCTCCTTCATCTAAGGAGTCAGAGCTACCCTTCCTTTGAATCAAACCTGATAACCTTCCATTCCCCAGGTGCTATATGACTCCTAGTTCATTGTTTCCCTACGAGTAAAATGATACCGTACCTACCAGCATTATCACTGGTGGGAGACAGCCGATGTAAAACAAAAGAGTTGTACCTTAATATGGTCCTCTGGAGTAGCTTCTACAACCCATGTTAGGTCTGGATTATGATTTCGACCATCCGGATATAAATAACTGCGAATATAAAACAAAATTAATGTGTACTGGAGTTGAACCCTCAACCTTTGCTTTCAAAATGCCAGCAACTACTCCTTACCAAGTCTACATTAAAAGTGTAAAGCTGTAATACATTGCATTACTGACAAACTGTGCAAACTTGAGGATATGACTACAATATGAAAGATTTATTTTGATAAAAAAAGTTTGTAGGGTGAACTGTGAGACCAAACTTAAAGACTGAGTAACTCATCTGAATCAGACCCACAAATTATTAAATATGTTATGAAGAATGAGGTACTAGTCTAATAATAATAAAAAGGACACCTGCAATCTCATGTATTAAAAGTTGGTGAATAAATTGAATGGCTTGAATGCATCTTTGTTATGTCCTTGAAAAGATGTCAACAGCTAGAGCAGTAAAAAAAAAAAAAAAGCCTTAAAACACTATTTAGGCATGTAAAATATAAGAAAATGCAGTTTTCTTATACACTCTCCTCACTTAACGACAGAGTTCCGTTCCTAGGAGTAGGTCAGTAAACAAATTAGTCGTTAAGCGAGAAGCATACTATACTGGTAGTGGGTTTATGTCAACCATATTAGATATTGTGTTAATGTCACCTTTGCACAATTTATAACATTTTTAGTATATTTTTAAATGTTTATACAGTAGTGTACTGTATATTGTAATGAACAGAATAGAGGATATCAGCTCTAATATACATTATTCAGGTATGCATACTGGTTGGAGAGCGGTGTAAGTCCGATCGGTCGTTAAATGAGTATGTCGTTAAGTGAGGAAAGACTGTACATGAAATGTTTTGAGTAAATTTTTACCATAGTTAAGATGTTAAACTTTTCCTTACTACCCACATTTTTATCTAATAGGCATAGAAAAAAAAAAGGTATAAATATAACAGATATATCTATATTTAACAAATAAACCTAACAGGTGTACAATCATGATATTCTGAGTCCAGCATGCAAATTTACTTAATAATTACTCATTCTTACAGTTCTAAAAATTTCCAAACTTCAAAGCATACTTACAATCCTTCTCTTTGACCATCTAGAAGGGCTTGACAAAGTGATTTATTTTGAGGAATGGTCTGTAGGATACTGCCATCACTGGTCACATAACCAATCGCCCATTGACCAAGCCTTGTACATGATAGTCGGAATACATAACTGTTGGAATAAATCTACTGTTAGTATAAAACTGGTGCTCATATTGTTGGAATAATTCTAAGTACTGTAACATTACTGCATTCACTTTAGGTCTTTTGTTCTTAATTATTCTGTATTTTTTGTTCCTAATTTTACTGTGTTCTTTAATCAATTACCAATGCTGCAACACATTCTTGCTCCAATGCTTCCTTATTGCTGCATCATCATATTACTAATGAAGGTGTTTTCTTATGATTTATATTTTTTCTAGCTTTGTCAAGGAAATGCTGGATAAAGCTTAACTAGCCAATACAACAGTGCAATGGCTGAACCATAAGTGCTGTCTGCAGAGCAGTGCCCATCACTCGTACACCATGAATTCACAATGAACATTGGGTAACCTATGTTGCCCTGTTATACTTATGTGAAGCACTAAATCTGTGGGAATCTTTCAGCTCAATCACTGGTGGAGGCTTGATTCTCCATCCCCATTGCCTAGTTGAGCTCGTCTAGGTCTAGTATATATCCTATGTTCCTGCAACATCTATAATTTCCCTGCCCCCTCATTTTCTTTTGCTGATGATGAATGTGCTAAATATAGTTAACCATCCTGGTTAACTACACTTAGCATGTTAGTCAGTAGCCAGTACAAATTTAACTCAGACTAAAAGCTAATAAGCTTTAACCTCTTGACTGTCACAACCCCAAATCAATCCTGAGGTGTCTCCTGGTATTGCAAAATTAAAAAAAAAAAAAAAAAAAAAAAAAAAAAAATTTATATGAAATGGTAGAGAATCGTTTCCTGATTGTAATGACACCAAAAGAACGAAATTTGATGGAAAACTGACGGAATTACACTCGTGAAGTTAGCAACCTCGGCGATATTTACGAATTGGTGATTTCGCCCACTTTGAGCCCTATTTTCAACTAATTCCATTGTTCCAGTCAACCAAACTCACAGCTATTTCTTTAGAAATCCATTTTTTCTATCGATTGAGTACAAGAAACTGCCCATTTACCGATTTCAACTACCCAATAACGTGGTCAGAAATTTGCAATTTGGCCAATTTCACAAAAATTAAAAAATATGACAATTTCAAAACAGGGTCCAGAATGAACAATGCAGACATTCCTGGCTCTAAAATAACATTTTCTATGTTATTCAGTCACGTCTCTAGGCCCCTCTGATATTACTCTTGCTTTCTATTCTGAATTTTTATACAAACAAAAAATAAAAAATTTACTGTTATGCAGACTACTGCAATATTGTAATAATTGTATAAATAATGTCAACCCATTCATGACTGCATATTAGAATGGCTACTTGGACATTTATTGGAAAATGACATCATTTGTTTACTTTTGAACATAGGCAAAAATCAAACATTTCCCCTACTTTGAGCTCCATTTCAAGGTTCTTTTCATAGTAAAACCAATCAAAATTATCTCTATTTCTATATGTTTTCCATTCTATCAAATGAGACCAAGAACATCTATCAAATGAGACCAAGAACATGAGAATACAACCATAAATACCATACGATAATAGACCACAAAGTTGGCATTTTAATTAAAAAAAAAAACAGTCTGAGTTTTCTTTTTCTCATTATGCACTGCATCCTGCAGGATTTTTTTTATATGGTGCACACCGACCACACACTCATTCTCCCACATGTGGGCCTACTAGCTTTCTCCTGCTTGATTTGAAGCCGCTAGAATTTATGAGTATATATACGTCAAAAACGGTGGCTTTTAAGACGTATATATGTGACCAAAACAGTCAAAGGGTTAAATAATTTTATTTCTAATTACACACACATTTATGCCACATTTTAGGACATTAATTTCATGCCTTATCTGCGGTCAAAGAAGCTACCATAACTTAAATTTAGCATCGAAGTGAATATCTTACCTCCCAGGTTTGTTTATATATTTTTGTAATCTTGCTTTAACTTCATCGTATGTGAGAAAGGCAACATAACCAGGGTGTGTGACTGCGAGTATTTGCCAATTTCGTAATAACGTGGGCCAAGGCTGGAATAATCTGAGGAAAATAAAGAGTACATATTACATAATTGAGTAACTGCCCTGGGTACTTATTTCATAAACTACATCATAATATATTGTAATCATATTAAGCTTATGATTTTTGGCATCAATGCCTTAAATGTGTTTTTTGTGTAATCAATCAATCAAGTTTATTCTCTATAAAGATTACAATGCAGGGTTTACAGATTTTGGATATTGTGTGGTTTACATGTTAGAAAATACTAATTACAGAGGGGGCCACTATGACACCTAGCATGGCTAGGCATTTCGGGCAGACTCAGAGTAATTCTTATCTCTAAATTATTACAGATTATGGAGTAAGTTGGTATTAAGGCTAAGTGACTACATTATAGTTTGTGAATTTAGCAATGTGAATGCTTTTGTTTTGGTACAATACATAGTTTCTTCTTATTCTTTTTAGTAATTATTACAGGAAAAGGGGTTACTAGCCCATTGTTCCCAGCATTTTAGTTGAATTTTACAATACGCATGGCTTATGGAGGAAAGATTCTTATTCCATTTCCCCATGGATATAAAAGGAAAAGTAATAAGACCAAGAACTATTAAGATAAAACCAAAGAAAACTTAGATGAGTGTGTATAAATAAACATGTACCTGTATGTGTAGTGTGACCTAAGTGTAAGTAGAAGTAGCAAGACGTACCTGTAATCTTGCATATTTATGAGATAGACAAAAGACACCAGCAATCCTACCATCATGTAAAAAAAATTACAGGCTTTCGTTTCACACTCACTTGGCAGGACGGTAGTACCCCCCTGGGGAATAAAATACAAAATGGGAATTGACACAGCTGCTTTTTGCTGGTGATACTGTGCTTATGGAGGATTCTAAAGAAAAATTGCAAAGGTTAGTGGATGAGTTTGGGAGTGTGTGTTAAGGTAGAAAGTTGAAAGTGAACATAGAAAAGAGTGAGGTGATGAGGGTATCAAATGATTTAGATAAAGAAAAATTGGATATCAAATTGGGGAGGAGGAGTATGGAAGAAGTGAATGTTTTCAGATACTTGGGAGTTGACGTGTCGGCGGATGGATTTATGAAGGATGAGGTTAATCATAGAACTGATGAGGGAAAAAAGATGAGTGGTGCACTGAGGTATATGGGGAGACAAAAAACGTTATCTATGGAGGCAAAGAAGGGAATGTATGAAAGTATAGTAGTACCAACACTCTTATATGGGTGTGAAGCTTGGGTTGTGAATGCAGCAGTGAGGAGACGGTTGGAGGCAGTGGAGATGTCCTGTCTAAGGGCAATGTGTGGTGTAAATATTATGCAGAAAATTCGGAGTGTGGAAATTAGGAGAAGGTGTGGAGTTAATAAAAGCATTAGTCAGAGGGCTGAAGAGGGGTTGTTGAGGTGGTTTGGTCATTTAGAGAGAATGGATCAAAGTAGAATGACATGGAGAGCATTTAAAACTGTAGGGGAAGGAAGGCGGGGTAGGGGTTGTTCTCGAAAAGGTTGGAAGGAAGGGGTAAGGGAAGTTTTGTGGGCGAGGGGCTTGGGCTTCCAGCAGGCATGCATGAGCATGTTCGATAGGAGTGAATGGAGACGAATGGTATTTGGGACCTGACGATCTGTTGGAGTGTGAGCAGGGTAATATATAGTGAAGGGATTCAGGGAAACCGGTTATTTTTATATAGCCGGACTTGAGTCCTGGAAATGGGAAGTACAATGCCTGCACTCTAAAGGAGGGGTTTCAGGATATTAGCAGTTTGGAGGGATATGTTGTGTATCTTTATACATATATGCTTCTAAACTGTTGTGTTCTGAGCACCTCTGCAAAAACAGTGATTATGTGAGTGAGGTGAAAGTGTTGAATGATGATGAAAGTATTTTCTTTTTCGGGATTTTTTCCTTCTTTTTGGGTCACCCTGCCTCGGTGGGAGACGGCCGACTTGTTAAAAAAAAAAAAATAGTTTCTATATTGGAATATCACAGGCAAACTTATGACTAGTTAGAAACCTTCCCTATGAGGATAGACTAAGGGCCCTGAAACTGCACTCTCTAGAAAGACGTAGAATTAGGGGGGATATGATTGAGGTGTATAAATGGAAGACAGGAATAAATAAAGGGGATGTAAATAGTGTGCTGAAAATATCTAGCCTAGACAGGACTCGCAGCAATGGTTTTAAGTTGGAAAAATTCAGATTCAGGAAGGATATAGGAAAGTACTGGTTTGGTAATAGAGTTGTGGATGAGTGGAACAAACTCCCAAGTACCGTTATAGAGGCCAGAACGTTGTGTGGCTTTAAAGATAGGTTGGATAGATACATGAGTAGATGTGGGTGGGTGTGAGTTAGACCTGATAGCTTGTGCTACCAGGTCGGTTGCCGTGTTCCTCCCTTAAGTCAATGTGACCTGACCTGACTAGGTTGGGTGCATTGGCATAAGCCTGTAGGAGACTTGGACCTGCCTCGCATGGGCCAGTAGGCCTTCTGCAGTGTTCCATTGTTATGTTCTTATGTTCTTATTTTAAGATTAAGATTCATATTTCTGTGTTTATAGTCAAATGGGTGAGTGAGTGAAAGTGTGAACCACCAGGTGGTTTTCATGTATGTAGTTAGTTGACAGGGTGTATCAGGGAGATAAGATGTTTTCTAACAGTAGTTTTGAAAGTGATGAATGTGTCTGCAGTTCTAGAGTTTTCAGGTAGAGTGTTCCAAATTTTAGACCCTTTGACATACATTGAGTTTTTGTAAAGGTTTAGTCGGACATGGGGAATGTCAAAGAGATGTTTGTGTCTGGTGTTATGCCTGTGGGTCCTGTCACAACTATCAAGAAAGCATTTTAGGTCAAGGTTAATATTGGAATTTAAGGTCCTGTAGATGTAGATTGCACAGTAGTAAGTGTGGATGTTCTGAACAGGGAGTAAGTTAAGATCTATGAGAGTGGGGGGGGGGGGGTGCCAGGGATGGGATTTAGTGATTATTCTTACTGCGGCTTTTTATTGGGCTATTATTGGCTTTAGGTGTGTTGCCGCAGTTGATCCCCAAGCACAAATAGTATAGGTGAGGTATGGATAAATGAGTGAATGGTATAGTGTAAGAAGGGCAGTTTGCGGCACGTAGTATCGTATCTTGGAGAGGATCCCAACCGTTTTGGATACTTTTTTTTGTTGTGTTGGATATGGGTGCTGAAATTCTGGTTGTTGTTGAGGTACAGGTTGGCCATCACTAATCCGGCAATCAGTTATCCGGGTCCATCAATAATCCGGCACTAATTTCGGCTAGCGTAATTTCAAATTTCATCATTATACTGACTCAGAAATTGTGCAGATAGTTGTAAATCCACAGCAGCAAGCCAGTGGAGGAGAAAGCAGTGATGAAAATGAAGATGTAGCAGAGTCTACTGATAGGTTAATTAAGTGTATTCTAACCTAACCACTCTGTAATTCGGCACACTACAGGTCCCAACGATGCCGGATTAGTGATGGTCGACCTGTATAGGCCTAGGAATTTGCCCTCGTTATCTCTGGCAATTAGAGTGTTGTCGATTTCAATGTTAAATTGCGCAACACCTGCTCAATGGAAAAAAATACAGGGTGAATAAAGTCTTATACCCACATACATTCAAACAATGTGCAGTTAATTGTTTAAACAGGTATAATATAGTTCTTTTAATAATACAATAGAGATCTTTCAAGAATCACAGTGAAGGGAACATACTCCACAAAAAGGTCAATCTACTTCTTTATGTTAAAAGGATTAAATGTTACATATATGTAATATCAGATTGGAAAGAAGTATGGAGGAAGGAAATACAGTGCAACCTTGACTTACGAGTTTAATCTGTTCCGTTCGTGACCTAGCTTGTAACTCAATTTACTCGTATATCACATCAATTTTCGTCATTTAAATTAACTGAAAAGCCATTAATCCATTCCTGCACACTGGAGACATGACAAAATACTGTACTTGAATATGACACCAATATCAACTATACGGCTTATTTATCTATCACAATTCATCTAATATGATATAATAAACAATATAATTAACACAGAAACATGATATATACTCTAGAATGAATAAAATAGGCCATAATATGGTGGCAGAGGCAACGGTGGAAGCATCCGCCATTTCCTGTCTAACTTTGACTATACAGTGGACCCCCGCATACCGCACGCATCGCATACCGTACAATCCGCATACCACTCGCTTTTTTCGCAAAAATTTTGCCTCGCATACCGCCCAAAAACCCGCTCACCGCCCTTCGTCCGAGACGCGTCCAATGTGCGGCCTGAGCCACGCTCACAAGTTCCGCCGGTGCCATTGTTTACCAGCCAGCCTCCGTGGTAACATCCAAGCATACAATCGGAACATTTCGTATTATTACAGTGTTTTTGGTGATTTTCTCTGGAAAATAAGTGACCATGGGCCCCAAGAAAGCTTCTAGTGCCAACCCTACAGCAATAAGGGTGAGAATTACTATAGAGATGAAGAAAAAGATCATTGATAAGTATGAAAGTGGAGTGCGTGTCTCCGAGCTGGCCAGGTTGTATAATAAACCCCAATCAACCATCGCTACTATTGGTGGTACAGCTGCTGCTGTACCACCGTCAGCTGCTGCTGCACTGTCAGCTGCTGCTGCACTGTCAGCTGCTGCTGCTGTTGTACCACCGTCAGCTGCTGCTGCTGCTGTAGCATCGTCTGCTGCTGCTGTAGCATCGTCTGCTGCTACTGTAGCATCGTCTGCTGCTGCTGTAGCATCGTCTGCTGCTGCTGTAGCATCGTCTGCTGCTGCTGTAGCATCGTCTGTTGCTGCTGTAGCATCGTCTGTTGCTGCTGTACCACCGTCAGCTGCTGCTGCTGCTGTAGCACCGTTGTTGGTGTGGCTTATTGAGAATACCAAGAAACAATTAACCCCAGAGGATTTGCCACCCAGCATAACCCAAAAAAGTCAGTGTCATCGAAGACTGTCTAACTTATTTCCATTGGGGTCCTTAATCTTGTCTCCCAGGATGCAACCCACACCAGTCGACTAACACCCAGGTGAACAGGGAAAAATGCCTGGAACTAGTGCTCATATTGGTGAATTTAAAGCCAGCAAAGGTTGGTTTGAGAGATTTAAGAATCGTAGAGGCATACACAGTGTGATAAGGCCTGTTCTGGAAGAAAATGCCAAACAGGACCTACAGTACTCAGGAGGAAAAGGCACTTCCAGGACACAGTGTCTCATCAGTCATTGCTGCATCTTCAATAAAGGTAAGTGTCATTTATTCTTCATTTAGTAGAGTAGTACATGCACAATATATATTGTGCATGTACTACTCTACTATTGTGCATGTATCCTTCTCTTTGTGTGTAGGAAAATGTATATTTCATGTGGTAAAATTTTTTTTTTCATACTTTTGGGTGTCTTGCACGGATTAATTTGATTTCCATTATTTCTTATGGGGAAAATTCATTCGCATACCGAACATTTCGCATAACAATCAGCCCTCTTGCACGGATTAAGGTCGCTATGCGGGGGTCCATTGTAGTATTTTCCCATGCTCTTATTGTAAGAGAAAACGGAGTACTGTATTTGTGAGACTAATTGCAGAAATATCGTATATAAAAACATAATAAATCATAATACACTACAGAATGTAAAGAAATGTTAAACTGTTTATATAAAGTGTATATGTACTTACACACTTGGAGCAGAGATGGTGGGGCAGGTTGAGGGTGGGAGATGTTGAGTGTGGGAGGGATGTTGAAGGGGAGGGATGTTGAAGGTGGGGGATGTTGAGGGTGGGGGAGGTTGAGGCTGTGCTGTATGATGTCAGTGGCCCTGTAAACCTCCAACAACAACATTGTTTTGTTTGATCGCTGAACTTAACTGATACAATTTGTTTTTTAATCACTGAACTTAACTGATACAGCTTTAGTATCTACATGTCGTAGATGTACTAAGCTGGTATTGCCTGGCTAAGTCCATGGAAATAATCTTTTTCTTCTCATCACCGTCCTTTGCACTTATTTTCTTAGGACCCATGGCTAAAAAAAAGAAATTTGGCCAAATGACTGTAAAAAAAAAATGCAAGGAAGCATGAGAGAACTACACTCCCACAGCGATGTAAACATGCGTACTAACCGGATGTTTTGGCATCAGCTGTGCCAACTAGGGGCAGAATTCTGAATTATTATTACGTACGTATTATGTATTATTATTAATTTAGGGAACTGAAGCTCTATCATTATTATAATATATTAATAATAATATTATTATTATTGTTATTAATTTAGGGAACTGAAGCTATCATTATAATAATAATAATAATAATAATATTATTATTATCATCATCATCATCATTACTAATTTAGGTAACTGGAGCACAGATCCAGTTCCCTAGATCAAGAGCCCCCTTGCCAGCATCAAGGAACCTTGATACTGGTGAGGGCCTCTTGATCTAGGGAATTGGATCTGTGCTCTAGTTACCTAAATTAATAACAATAATAATAATAATAATAATAATAATAATAATTATTATTATTATGATAACAAACGCCGCCAACTCAGTGCACTCTTTACCTCGCTGTGGGAGCAGTTTTCTCATGCTTTGCTTACATTTTTGACAGTTATTTGGCCAAATTTCATTTTTCTAAGGATGGGTCCTAAGAAAGTAAGTGTAAAGGACAATGGTGAGAAGAAAGAGGATGATTTCCATGGAATTAAAGCATGAAATCATAGATAAACAAGCGAGGTGTCCAGGTTTTGCGTTGGGGAAGCAGGGGGAGCTGGCTCGTAACTCACATGTTGGTTCGTAACTCAGAGCAAAAAATTGACCCAGGGACGGCTTGTATCTCAAAAAAATCATACATTGGGACACTCATAAGTCAAGGTTCCACTGTATATTTAGATACATATTTGGGAATTGGTGTGTTGTAGTTAGGGTTATGAAAATCAAGATAAACCATAGTAGATGAAAGAAAAAAAGGAAGATGGAGTACTGAGGCATGTGTAGTTTTTTTTTTTTGTCTATGACAGTAAAAAGAAGACCATACCCGAGTATAATGGTATCAACCCTCTTATATGAGCGTGAGGCATAGGTTTCAATCACTGCAGTGAGAAGAAGGCTGGAAGCTATGGAGAAGTCACATCTGAGAGCAATATATGATGTGACTATTATTCAAAGAATTCAGAACATAGAAATTAAAAGATGGTGTAGGATTACAGAAGCTATTATTCAGCAGAGGATGAGTTATTGAGGTGGTTTGGGCATTTAAGAGAGGATGGAGTGGAATATCTTATGTACCGAGATATATTCATACGAGTTATAATGGTTATACCTGTTAAATATTGGCTAATAGTTCCATGGATTATCGTCCTCATGCCCCAGTCTCAAACTAGGACTTAAATTGAAAGGAAACACTACAGGAATATGAAAGGCTAACTTAAAAAAATCAGAGAAAAGAAACATTTGTACTGACTGTACATACAACAGATGTTTGCAAGATTTACCTGCCATCTTACATATTCATGAGCTAAAAACTAAAACAAAGCATTCTTGTCGAAGTGTGAAAAATGTAACAAGCTTTTATGTCACATTCAAATGACAAGACAGTAGGACTTCCTGTAAGCTTTCTACCAGCTTACTACTTTCTGGCTTCCTTAATGAAACTCCAAAATGCCTCAGCATTGCTCTTCTTAATGTAATCCTGTAATCACTGAGTTGTAACTACCCATCCTTTCCCAGTAAGGAAAATTTCCTAGCTGAGAAGCAACCGTGAAATGGTCAAATCTCTATCTACAGTAAGGGCATAAAAATACTTAAATAAATTAATAATTAAATTTGTTGTTGTTAAAAGTACTTACCTTGTGAAAACATCAAACTCAAAACTGGAAATGTAATCATTGCAGGTCAGGTCTATTGTCGATTTTAGAGCCATGGCTTCAAGCCCAGGACCAATTGGATGTACTTCATTCAAAGTGTCTCTAAAGTATCTCCACGGCACTACCGTTCTGTAAAATACAAATTGTATGACTTAAAAAATATAAACACTTATATTTTTCATACATAGAAAATTAATACAAATGCACTGTTTACCTGAGAAACTATTAAGACAATTTTAGAGACAAAGTAGTTCATGTTATACAAAAGCATCAACAAAATCTCTGGGAGGAACCACCATAAAAATTACACTTATGAATGTAATGACAGTTTTAAGACGAGGTATGATAAAGCTCATGGAGCAGGGAGAGAGAGGCTCTAGTAGCGACCAGTGAAGAGGCAGGGCCAGGAGTAGAGTCTCGACCCTTGCACCCACAATTAGGAGAGTACAATTAGGTGAGTACATCTACCAATTTTGACATTAGTGAAATGAGGTATGGAGTAAAAACAAACAAGAGAAGTTACTGAAGATAAAACTGAAAATGAGGCAGTACAGTTGTACCTTGTGGGTGTTATAGAGGGTGATATAAAATCATGAGAAAATCAAGAGGTCATAAAGGAAAAATGTTATTTAACAGAATTAATTGATACTAATGACTAATATTCTTTGCAAACTAAATCACTATAGACTCAGAAGACACACACAACTAATACAACAAATCCTGTTTAACTCTTTCACTGTTGGTCATGCAGATCTACATGATTGGGGTCAGCATCGTTCACTCAGATCTACAACCGAATCAAAGCACCCTCAAATTTGCTCTGAATGGCAAATTTTGGTCTAGAAATGAGAGAGAATGAGTCTGAATGATGGCTGTGTGTAGTATAGAAAAAAAATCCTGCCTCAAGCAGTGCATGCTGGTAACAGCTAACATCTGACCCTGTGTTTGGATTAAAATATCAACACTGCAGTGTTGTGTTGTGTAGGGTGCTTTTCATGGTTTTATTGGCTGTTTCTTGGTGCCCATAAAGATACTTGAGGTCATACTAGTAAAACAAAGAAGCTCTAATCTGTTTCCAGACCAGAAGTGATTTGAAATAGGCCTTAAAGTGTTAGAAATTATCAATTCTGGGCAATTTTTCCTGGGGATGGGTAGGGGGCCTTCCCTTACTCCCCATCTGTTTTATGGGCCTTTACTAGGAATTGGGTAGATGTGGATCAGTTTTTTTTTGGGGGGAATTGGCCTAAAATAGGCCTCAAAGTGGGCAAGAACACTATGATGTAAAGTGCTCCAAAACTCCAACTTCATGCCCATGTAATCCTATAAGTATAACATGAAATAATGCCTTTTTTGGTGTCATTATCCTTAGAAAAAATATTTACTTTTAGAAGATTAAATTATTTACTTTTCAAAACTATCAACATAGAAGAGGGTTTCAGTGAAAGTGTTAAGTAACAGGTAATGCATTCCTAGTCATTAATGTCACTTCAATCACCTAACCAATTAAATTTGTTCTCCAATGTAGCATCCTGGGTCCCTCTTCTTTTCCTCCACTAAATCACTGACTTAGTGAATGCCACCCAGCATTTTAAGCCAATACTCTTTCCTGATGATACAACCTACATTTTACTCTCTGACAGTAAACACTATCGTTAATGATGAACTAAAAAAAGGTTCACATCTGGGCAACAAATGCACTATTAACTCTCTTTGTTTCAACATGGAAATACTAGAGGAAGTTAGATGTTCTAGCAAATTATAGATTGGTTTATTCTAAGACCTTGTTTACTTGAATTACTTTTGACATATCTTTCATGATGATTTTATGAATTTTTGCGAGTCCAAACAGTCATTATTCTAACTTATGAGAGACTGGAAACCTGTCATTCCCAAGTCTAGTGGAGCTTCACATCTCATCTCACTCCACTTGGGAAGGAGTGAGAAATATGAGGTCTATTATTAAAGTATAACAATGAGCTTTCCTAATGGTCAGAGGCAATTTCAACAATTTTATGCAACCAGTTTGGGCTCTGGAATCCTTCCAGATATGGCCCCCCTAATGGGGCCTTTAAATGCTGTTGGAGTGTGAGCAAAGTAACATTTATGAAGGGGTTCAGGGAAACCGGCAGGCCGGACTTGAGTCCTGGAGATGGGAAGTACAGTGCCTGCACTCTGGAGGAGGGGTGTTAATGCTCCAGTTTAAAAACTGTAGTGTAAAGCACCCTTCTGGCAAGACAGTGATGGAGTGAATGATGGTGAAAGTTTTTCTTTTTCGGGCCACCCTGCCTCGGTGGGAATCAGCCAGTGTGATAATAAAAAAAAATAATATGTTTAGGAATAAAGCATATCACCAATGAGATACCAAAATTATTTTATATGAAATAGTGATAAAAAATATATAGTGCGAGTATAGGCAATGGGGTAGAAGATGTATGGGGTAAGTTTAAGAATATAGTGTTAGTGTGTTCAGCAGAAGTTTGTGGTTACAGGAAAGTGGGTGCGGGAGGAAAGAAGAGTGATTGGTGGAATGATGATGTAAAGATAGTAGTAAGAGAGAAAAAGTTAGCATATGAGAGGTTTCTACAAAGTAGAAGTGATGCAAGGAGGGAGGAGTATATGGAAAGAAAGAGAGAGGTTAAGAGAGTGGTGAAGCAATGTAAAAAGAGAGCAAATGAGAGTGTGGGTGAGATGTTATCAACAAATTTTGTTGAAAATAAGAAAATATTTTAGAGTGAGATTAATAAGTTGAGAAAGCCTTGGGAACAAATAGATTTGTTAGTTAAAAATAAGAGAGGAGAGTTATTAAACAGAGAGTTAGAGGTATTGGGAAGATGGAGGGAATATTTTGAGGAATTGTTAAATGTTGATAAAGATAGGGAAGCTGCGATTTCGTGTACAGGGCAAGGAGGAATAACATCTTATAGGAGCGAGGAAGAACCAGTTGTAAGTGTAGGGGAAGTGCATGGGGGTGTGGGTAGAATGAAAGGGGGTAAAGCAGTTGGGATTGATTGAAGATAGAAATGTTAAAAGCAGGTGGGGATATAGTTTTGGAGTGGTTAGTGCTTTTATTTAATAAATGTATGGAAGAGGGAAAGGTACCTAGGGATTGGCAGAGAGCATGCATAGTTCCTTTGTATAAAGGCAAAGGGGACAAAAGAGAGTGTAAAAATTATAGGGAAATAAGTCTGTTGAGTATATCTGGTAAAGTGTATGGTTGAGTAATTACTGAAAGAATTAAGAGTAAGATGGAGAGCAGGATAGCAGATAAACAAGGAGGCTTTAGGAAGGGTAGGGGGTGTGTAGACCAAGTGTTTGCAGTGAAACATATAGGTGATCAGTATTTAGATAAGGGTAAAGAGGTTTTTGTGGCATTTATGGATTTGGAAAAGGCATATGAGAAGGTGGATAGAGGGGCAATGTGGCAGATGTTGCAAATGCATGGAAGAGGAGGTAGGTTATTGAAGGCAGTGAAGAGTCTTTACGAGGATAGTGAGGCTCAGGTTAGAGTATGCAGGTGAGAGGGAGATTATTTCCCAGTAAAAGTAGGCCTTAGACAGGGATGTATGGTGTCACCATGGTTGTTCAATATACACCTACCATCTGACTTACGACCTGCTCGACTTACGACCACTCGACTTACGACCGTGTTTTTTATGCCAAATTTCTGGGAAATAAACAACTATTTGTATTGTACACAGTGTTTATCCTAAACCTTACAGTATAAAATCCAGTACTAACAGCATAAAAAGTAAAGTAAAACATGAAATACCAAAATAAAACAATAAAATAAAGTCATTACAAAAATGTGATGTTGATATTCAGTAGTAAAGTTAGACTTACGTCCATTTCAACTTACAACCGGTTTCTTGGAACCGAACTCGGTCGTAAGTCAGATGGTAGGTGTATTTATAGATGAAGTTGTAAGAGAAGTGAATGCTCGAGTGTTCACAAGAGGAGTGGGGTTAAAAGATAAAGAATCTAACACAAAGTGGGAGTTGTCATAGTTGCTCTTTGCTGATGACACAGTGCTTTTGGAAGATTCTAAAGAGAAGTTGCAGAGGTTGGTTGATGAGTTTGGTAGGGTATGTAAAAGAAGGAAATTAAAAGTGAATGTAGGAAAGAGTAAGGTGATGAGGATAACCAAAAATTTAGGTAACTGAAGATTGGATATCAGATTGGAGGGAGAGAGTATGGAGGAGGTGAATGTATTCAGATACAGGTACCATCCGACTTACAACCAAGCTTGGTTCCAACCAACTGGTCGTAAGTCAAAATGGACGCAAGTCGAACCTTACTACTGAATATCAACATCACACTTTTGTAATGATTTTATTTTGGTATTTCATTTGTTACTTTACTTTTTATGCTGTTAGTATTGTATTTTATACCGTAAGGTTTAGGATAAACACTGTGTACAAGAGCTAAGAGGTATGTCCTATGAGGAGAGGTTAAGGAAAATCAACCTGACGACACTGGAGGACAGGAGAGATAAGGAGGACATGATAACAACATACAAAATACTGAGAGGAATTGACAAGGTGGACAAAGACAGGATGTTCCAGAGATGGAACACAGCAACAAGGGGACACAGTTGGAAGTTGAAGACACAGATGAATCACAGGGATGTTAAGAAGTATTTCTTCAGCCACAGAGTAGTCAGGAAGTGGAATAGTTTGGGAAGCGATGTAGTGGAGGCAGGATCCATACATAGCTTTAAGCAGAGGTATGATAAAGCTCAAGGTTCGGGGAGAGTGACCTAGTAGCGACCAGTGAAGAGGCGGGGCCAGGAGCTTGGGCTCGACCCCTGCAACCTCAACTAGGTGAGTACAACTAGGTGAGTACAGAGTAAGTTGCAAGTCACATCAAAGAAGTATTCTATCATCCAGAAACAGATAAAAAATAAAAACAGTGAACACCACATGGTAGTAGGGATAACTAATTAAGCAATACACATGATAATCAGAATACTGTACTAGATATAAAAGTATGTAATTATATTCCATGCTGCCTTTAACAAAATATCACAATGTCATGGAATTCTGAACATCGTCAGCACATTAATCACAACTGTCACAGCTTGGCAACACTATCCTCTTGCTAAACATTCCCTCTGGGAGTGACAGCATAAA